TGATTATAGCAGCACTGCCATTATAGAGCATACCATTTTTAACCTTTTCAATTAAATCCAAATGATCAAATCTATAAAAAAAAAAAAAAACCCCGTTTGTATGCAAGCACACACAGACATCAATATTTAGCGTATCAATCTCAGCAATGGTGACAAACAGATCACCTCTAACCATAAGCTCATTATTTATTCATGCAGAAATGCATGATGGGAGCCATGAATGAGTTTTGATTGGTGGCACCCAGAATGCACTGCAACATGCTTTATAATTGTCACCATTGTTGAGATTCACAGGCTGATTATTGATGTCTGTGTGTGCCTACATACATTTTTCTTATTTTTTAGAAGTTTTTTTTTGTTTCTTTTTTATTGATTTGATCATTTGGATTCCATTGAAAAGGCTAAAAATGGTATGCTCTACAATGGCAGTGCTGCTATAATCCATAAGGTAAATTTAACTCAGAAATTGGGTTCTGTATGAGTTCAGTGATTCAGGTCAAATGATAGTGATATAATGATTATGTTAAAACACAACCAACACCATCAGATCAACTTTTCTAATTGATCATCTGGCTGTTATAACTCATGTACAGCAGTCAGACAAAATATAAAGTAAATAAGTTAATGGTCAAGAGCCCAACTAAAACAAACACTCATCTCCATAACGGTGACCTGAAATTCCGGTTTTCTCATTCAGAGATTCTGCTTGTTAACATCAGGTGTTCATGATTAATGCTCAATCATCACTCAATTATTCACTTAATTATCTGCTTCAGTGTTCAGTGTTTGTTTAACGTAACCCAGTTATGTGCATCCTGTTGACATAAAAAAGTTAATTAAAGCCAACATATTAGAACCTGTTGTCATAAAAAAGTTAATTAAAGCCACCATATCAGACCCTGATGACATAAAAAGTTAATTACAGCCAACATATCATTTATTTGAGTGTGTTGAAGTTACATGACCAAATTATGTTTGTTTAACGTAACCCAGTTATGTGCATCCTGTTGACATAAAAAAGTTAATTTATGGAACCTGTTGACATATAAAAGTTAATTTATGGAACCTGTTGACATAAAAAAGTTAATTAAAGCCAACATATCATTTTTTTGAGTGTGGAGGGAGCTATACAATATGTCGACCTTTATAGAAGGGGGTGCCCGCGGTTATGTAGATATAAATGTCTCATTCTAAGGTAATAAAAACATTACGGTTTATTAAGTAAGTTCTTCATACACCACTGAAAACATAGTTATGGATGTCATATTGCATTTCTGTTAATAGATACTCAAAATTTTTACACATTGCACCTTTAAGGATTCAACTCACTCATTTGTCGCCACCTACTGGCGGGTGTAATTTCATAGAAATTTCATAGTAGCCTATTACCGTTATTTAATATCTCAACATAAAATATATATATTTAAAACAATCTCTTAACATAATTTATGCAAAATCTTTTGCTGATTGTCACTTCATTTGATTGTAGCCATACAGTGTATTTTTACTCAAATGTAATTTATTCATTGAGGACACAGATATGACAATATATTTGTATAATACTATCTCTGGCTTTATTGCTCAGTGTTATTGCAGGGTTTTGATCTTCTCTCAACTGAGAAAGAGCACATCCTGTATTTTATTGTATTATATAACGACTATTTAATATTACATCTAAATCTTGAGTACGCTAGGCATGTTGTGTATTCATTTTTCTATGAAACTCAAGCATATTTTAATGTTTGTGTATTTTTTGCTACTCCATAATGATGTTCTAGTTGAGCTCATTTGTAGGTGAGTCCTGCCCTGTCTGTGATACACTGTATTTTGTTGCCAGTTAAGGCTTAGAAATAACAGTGAAAAGAAATATGGTAAATAATAACAATATTTAAAAAAAACATGTGGTATACAATGATTGTATAACATAACTGTGTAATAACCGTTGTAAGAGCCAATATAATATGATTATATTCGATTTGCTTTCCCCACTTTATACCACATCTGAGAATGACTGTTTCTCCTCTAAACACTCGTTCATCAGGTCGTACCGTCACCACAGCTTTAGCACTCACTGAACAAACACAGATTATTGCATTTATAGTTTCAGAAGTTGTGTAGATATTGTCTGATCTGTATTTGTTGCATCACACACTACAGTCTCTCTCACCTGTAACATTTACCCACAGTGCATCACTGTATTGTGTGTAATAGACTGGTTTCCCTCTTCCAGCTCTACACCAGTACTGGCCTCCATCAGACACTGAATCAATCTTCAGGCTGTAGGAGTGTGTTTCTGTCTTCTCTGTCTCAGGGTTCAGTGTGTTTTTGTACCAGTAAAAGTCCCAATATCCAGTAGACGGATCCATGCGACAGGTCAAAGTCACTGTGTTTCCAGTCAGTGCAGCTCCTGCAGGATCTGATGTGAGTTCAGGCTTTAGATCTGCAGGAGAACAACAACAGATTCAGATCCTCAAGAGTCAGAGTTCGTTCCGGGTTACTTGACTGTAAACCCTGTTCCCTGAAAAAGCGGAACGAGATGCTGCGCTGCTTAGCGCATTGGGAACGTCTTTAATCGAGACTAGTGATGTTACGTTCGTGAACGAATCGTTCTTTTTGAACGAATCTTTTAGGTGAACGAATCATTCTCGTTCACGTTATCCATTGACTCATATTTCTCGTTCACTGAAATTCCTCCCTCCACCACTGCGCGCCGCTATTGCGCGCATGCGCAGCTCAATGAACCGTGTAGCTCTGTGGACCGTTTCATCTGTCAAAGACAAAGAGTGACTAAACCTCGAGCCAATAGCCTTCGAGTATGATACGAGGACGGAGCATGTGATTTGTTGAATCTAGTGAACGAATACGCCCTTTATTTGAGTTGCTTTGAGTTTGAACGAGTCAAATGAACTGTTACATACATCTCGTTCATGAATGATATTGCTCTCTGTTTTGAGTCTGAACGAGAGAGAGAGAGATCTCCCGTTCGTGAACGAATTGAACGAACTGGTTGCTATACCCAGTTCGTGTACCAGGTCGGCCATTCTGTCAATCTAGTTCATCAATCAGCAGAAAGTGAATGCAAAGCGCAGGTATCCGTACTGTGCACGCGCAATTCATATCTTACATACAGAACATAACTCCTCGTTTAACTCGTTCTGACCAAACAAATAAAATGTTAACTAGCCTGCCTAGTATGCAAACAAATTAAAAAACACTTGTGATTTGGTCATCCGAAAAGAGTGTAATTTAAAAGATAAAAAGAGTGTAAAGACTTTGATCGCTTATTTAGACTTATTTTATCCATTTAATGAGTAGGGCACCATTTTTAATAGTCAAATCAGTTTTTATTTTGTAACAAGTAAATACGTTAGTTGAACAACACATTTTGCCGCACCTGCTGCTGACGTATTTGTGTAATATGGAAAAAAAAACTGAACGAATCAGTGAACGAATCAGAACGAATCCTTTTGGTGAACGAACTAAAAATGAACGAGTCTCTGTAAAGAATCAAAATTTCCACCACTAATCGAGACCCGCTGTGAATATAGTGTGTAAACACGTCGATAGAATCGACCGGAAGTAATATAGCCTCGGTCGGTGATGTCATCGTCGCGCGCCCGCGTGCACCCGACTTTTTTTCTCAGAAATAATTTTTAAAAAATCAAATTGATTTTTTTATCTTCTATGAGAAAATACTTTCTCTCAAAACTTTTTTTTAGTCTTAAATATTATTTTTTGCTATTGATATGAAAACTTTTCTCTCAAATATAATTTTTTCTCTCATGAAATGCTTTATTGCTATCAGTGTGATAACTTTTTTTTCAAACTTTTTTTCTCTCTCAGATCATTTATTTTCTCCCATGTAATAAAGACACATTTCTAGCTCCATACTTATTCAGCCTATTTATTTAGTCCTTTTTTGTATAACCTATAGAAATTATAAATTTAAATTGCAGTTTTATGAAAATTAGATACAAATAAAATTGACTTGTTTTTCTTCACTCATGCTTTTTTGTAAATAAACAACATCAAAGCATTAACATTTGTGTGGGGAAATCAGTTACAGTGGAGGTAACCAATCAATGCAGGTTTAAGATACAGACCACTGTAATCAATATCTTTCTTTGGAAAACAACGTGAGCATTTGTTGTGCTTACATTTACAGCTATTGCAAGCAGGGGGCGCTTATTCAAACCTTTTTGTTATGAAATTGGGCACTCATCAGACAAAATGTAATTAGGTATACAGGTGATATTATCAATTTAAAGGAATTTAATGACTTCAAGTATTTAAATATGTTATTTAAGGCTTTATATAAGTATTTAAGCCTTTCAGGATTAGAATGAGAGCTTGTGCTCAGGTCAGGACAAGTATAAGAACTTGATTTGGCTTTCCTGACAGCAGAAGTATTTTACAAGTCCTGATAATGTGGGCTGGCGTGGCTACAGTGCCAGTGTTAAGCAATTTTAACATAATATTTAATACCATTAAAATATCAAGTAAATAAGTATTGTGATACTTGGTGCCACAGTGACACTCTTGTCCCAAAAAGTATTGCTATACCATGATACTCAATATGTTGTCCCATGGTGAGTAATTTTTCCCTGTTGGACCTACACAAAATTTGAGGGTTCCCCCACCTGCCACATCCCACTTTAACCACTGCGTATACACACACACACACACATACACGCACACGTAAACCCCTCCATCATTGAAAAAACAATCAACCGAGCAATAGCCCTCAACCTCCTTCTCGGAAAAAAATGCACGCATGACTCCCCTTCTGCCATCACCTACCGACCCAGCTGGGCAGTCCTTGTGTATTTCAGTGCAGTGCAAGCACAGAGCCAACGAGTAGGGCACCCGGAACCCTTGCCTATATTGTCTGGAAAATGCACTCCAGTTAACAACACATGAGAACTGAGAGTAAAAGTCTCTCGATTGTATGTGTGATCATGAAGTAGAGAGAGTTTAGAGGACAATGATGTTGAACTCACCCTTCACAGAGAGAGAAACAGCAGAGCTTGATGTTGATGAGTTTGGTCTTCCATCTCTCTGTCCTTTACACCAGTACTGACCCTGATCAGACTCAGTAGCTCCTCTGATAGTGACAGTGTCTCTGTTTACAGTGTAACGATAACCAGACGTCTGTAACTTTACACTGTCTTTATACCACTCATATCTCCAGTCACTGTGATCAGAGTTTATCACACACTTCAGATTGACTGTTTCTCCAGTGAATACAGCACTGTCTGGTGTCACAGTCACTGTAGATGTGGGTAAACCTGAGAAGAGAGCAGAACACAAACTGACTAGAGGACAAATGATTATTGCCCAACAGCGTCAATCGATGCAGTGTCTCATTCCCTGTTCTCAGGGAACATAGGTTGCAGTCGTAACCTGAGACGTTTTCTCTTCGGCTCCGTCATGATCTCAGACAAACACTGGTCAAAAACATCAGCTGTGAAACTGAACTGTTCATATGATTGTTTCCATATCTAAACCAGCTGTATCTGTCAGGATTCCGCCCTTGTTTCTATACAGTGTTTGTGTCTGAACAGTATTGCTGGCTTGTGCTCGGATCTAGTTACTCGTGACCAACAGCTTCATGCTGGTTAGAAAGACTGACTGACGTGATCAGGATGATGGAGACTATAAAACTCTTAGTGGTTTGACTTCATTCATATGAAATCAGGATTAATTTTATAATACAGTTATGGTGCTTTTGTGTCCTATTTGAACTCTGAAAGTTAATCATGTCATTCTCTAGCTATAATAGCGATCAGCACATTAATAAAACAATCTTAAAAAAAAAAAATTGTTCCAGGAAAGATATAGATTTGAAACAACACAAGGGTGTGGGAGATTAAATGATGACAACATTTTCATTCTCAGGAGAGCTAATGTTGAAACTTTGGTGTAAATGTTGGATAAAATGCATCTTAAATTTAATATTTGATGAACTGCAAATCATAAGAACAAAAAAATTACAGAATCGTCTGAAAAGCTATGCTGCATTTGTATAAAGACTTAAAGATTCTCAGAGAGTGCAAGCAGCTAAAAAAGTAATTACAGAAATATGTTTTATGTTTATTAAAAACTTGAATGTTACTGAATAGATGGAGTTGAAGTGTAATTAGCAGCCATTAACATAATTATTTTAGCTGTTTCTCAGATCTGTGTTCACATGCGTCAGAAAGACGACTTTATCTGTTGTGTTTCTCTGTTTTATAAGAACTCTTGCCAGGAGTGTTGTGTTTTAAAGATTACACTTAAAGTTAAAAATACACTGTAAAAAAAAAACGAGCAAATGCATGGCAGCACAGGGTGCCAAACGTTTGCCATTGATGAAAATAACGGTAAAACCCCATGAACTGAAGTAACATGTTTACACAGCAACATGAAAAAAGAACATTGACCATACAGTACTATAAAATGTTTAAAACGTAATCTGAAATAACATATTTTGTCTGTATAATTGCAAATACATGCATAGACCATTAAATGTAATGACATTATTTGACTGTAAGTTCACGTAACATGTTTAAACCCTCGTTTAATAAAACATGTTTTAACTGTAAATATAAAAACATGGTGTAGCAGTTGTTTAACTAAACATTATTTGAATGTAGATATAAATGACATGTTGACACCATTACTTCATAAAGCATGTTTTGACTGTAAACTGAAATCATGTTTTAATCATTATTTAACAGAGTTTGACTGTAAATTGAAATAACATGTGTTGACCGTTATTTGAAAAAATTAACTGTGATGGACCATAATTTTGAAAGGCATATACAGCATTTTGATTTTGATTATGGCTTACAAATAATTTTATATGTAGTTCATGAAATGTATATGTCACAAAAAGTCATTAGAGAAAATCATTTGTATTTTTCCCTCTTTATTTTCTTCTGTTACAGTAGTTTCCATTGTAAATAACAACAATATTAAAAACTTTAAACAGTGCTACAGTACCATCATCTGAACATTGCTTATATATGCTTAAAATACAACATTGACAATTCAAATTAATTTTATCATTGCATCTTCCACAAACTACACTTCGAACAGAACAATGGTCTCCAATTCAATCTCCATGTTGATGCCTTTAAAAAATAAGAGAGAAAATGGTTAGATATCATACATCACATATCTATATTCATCATCATGTCTGATCATGTTATTCTTTTTAGATGTTCTTGCGTTTCTTACATTAAAAAAATATTGTTTTTTACTTAAAATAAATATTTGTTCATTAAATATGTAATACACTTACAAATTTTATAATGGTCCACAACACCTTACTTCTTCAGACAGTTTAGTGATGTGACCTCACCCACTGACAAGGCCAAGGGTGCACTGCAACAGCAGAAACAACGTAAATACAGTAACACTTGTTGATTACAATTTTATATTTAATTTTACATGCCAGCATATTTACCCAGTATGATTACCTCACAATGTCGCAGGAAATTTCCCCTTTTGCTTTCTATGGAAGACATTTTTTGGTGTGCGTTTCTGCACTGTTTTGACCTTTCTTGTTAAGTCCCGCCTTCACGCACGCCATTGGTCAAACTGCTTCTCAATCATTGCCCTCGGCCCAACGGCATCAGCCAAGAGACAAAGCAGCAGCCTGTTAACTGCAGGTGGCACATCATGGCTCCAAAACAGCGTAAAAATGCCTCAAGGAAAAAATCCGTGTTTTTGTTTTGGTCGGGAAACGTGCTCATTGACATGGCAAATAAGCTAAAAGACGGAGCGGAGTTGGGTTCGCTGGAATACTGAATTACAGGCGTCAGTTTGTTTTCAAAAATCGTAAGTAGTGACTTTGTTAAGTAGGCAGTAGCTTTGTGTGTAAACGTGACTGTTAAGGCAACATACTCTGCTGTATGAATGCAATATATAACAGAATGACAACAAAACAATCATGGACCTCGATGTCGAGTGGTGAATGGTAAGTGCTTAAAAAAATTCGGTTGACGTATCATCCAACGTAATTTAAAAGTTAATTGGCAACAGGTGAATACAATTACAATGACTAATCACAAACGTTTTTAATTATTCTTAATGTTTGATGCAAGTTGCATTAAAAAGGACTAAATAGGTTTCAGAATTGTGTTGTTGTCGTTTTAGAACTTTGCTTTCACAATCATTTAAAAACACCCATATGCATGGACAACGGATTTCATCTTATGAGGTGTGTTACCTTTAACCATATGGATGATGATGTATTCGTGCAAATTTTGTGATTGCTCTCTGAAGACAGTTAAGGGATTTGTTGATCATCAAATCTTACACAGACATGAAGCAAATGCTCAATTTCCATGTTGCTTCCCAGAATGCAAATGTAAATTCTTAAAATACAATGCTCTCAAAGCTCATGTTTATCGCCATCACAAAAGACCACATACTCGTTTTGATGATTCGACGGGCACGTTTGTTTGCAACAATACAGACTGTCAACAACAATTTACAGACATGAACAATGTCCTTTCTCATCTCAGGTCACATTTAGCCAAGGGAGAGGTGGTGTGTTGTCCTTTTGAAAAATGTGACAAAAATTTCAGTTTAAGATCAAGTTTCACTGCCCATGTTTCACGAAAGCACAGGACTTCTACATTTGCACAATTACGGATTATGGATACTTTATCTCAGCAACCTTCTTCAGCATTTGATGTTACTGAGGATGAGGTTGATGAAAGTGAATTCACAGACTCACTGACGAAATGTAACGCAAAGTCATTGTACATGAAAAATCTCTGCCTGTTTTATATGCAGCTACAAGCCAAATACCTGGTGCCATCGTCAACCATTCAGATGATTGTGGAGGAATTCAGTGGTTTAAATTATATCTGTCATCAGTACACACAGAAGATGTTCAGGGAAATACTCAAGTCAAAAACGGCCCTTTCACAATGTGATATTGAATCTGTGGTGCAGACTTTGCAAGGCCAAGATTTACATTCAGCTTGTAATTCATTACTTTCCACAGAATACCAAAGAAGACAGTATTATCAGAAAAAATTTTCGTACGTGCATCCACAAAGTATGTGTCTCGGTCGAGATGAAAACCGAATCCAACGTTATGCACAGTATATTCCATTGAAGAACACTTTAAAAACCATGTTAATAGACCCAGGGGTGTGGGAGCAGTGTGCCAAACATCAGCATGTACACTCTTCTGTGTTCTCTGACATCTGTGATGGCTCTGTATTCAAATCCAATGACTTGTTTAAGCAGCCTGAGATTACAATCCAACTTATCTTGTACCAGGATGCCTTTGAGATTGTGAATCCCCTTGGGTCAGCTAAAAAAAGACACAAAATGATTGGAGTGTATTTTACACTTGGCAACTTTGAGCCATTTTACAGATCATGCATTGATAACATTCAGTTATCACTTTTGTGTTATGAGAGAGACTTTAACTATTTTGGTCAAACCAAGATTTTTTCTAAGTTGTTGGCAGATGTCAAAGAACTTGAAGAGCATGGATTTGTGACATCTTCAGGTGACATAGTACGTGCAACAATAGTGGCTATTATCGGTGATAATTTTGGGTCCCACTGCATCGGTGGTTACTCACAGAACTTCAGTACTGCCAAGCATTGCTGTAGGTATTGCTTGGTATCTCGCAGTGAACTTCAGAATGTGTGTGTAGACTTTCCCAATCGCACAGTTGAGTCCTATAAGGCGGCAGTGGAAACTCTAAGGACGACCGAAGAAAATGTTGTAAATGGGTTGAAGTTTGACTCCATTTTCAACTCTCTCAAATATTTTCATGTTGCTCAGCCTGGCCTTCCCCCATGCCTTGGCCATGACTTGTTTGAAGGCATTGTAGCTATTGATCTTGCCATTTTCTTGGAATACTTTGTAAAAAGGAAGTGGTTTTCATATACACAGCTGAACAGGAGACTTGCACAATTCAAATATCTGGATTCTGATGCTGGTTCTGCCCCCTCCCAGATATGTAAAAAAGGCGGAAAGTTAGGTGGTCAAGCAGCTGAGAACTGGTGTCTCCTCAGATTTCTTCCTGTCATAATTGGAGACAGAGTAGAGTCACAAGACCCTGTATGGCAACTGACTGTTAAGTTGAAAGAACTGGTTGAGTTAGTGTGTGCTCCCAAGATTAGCACTGCACAGATTGCATATCTCAATGTCTTAATACCAGAATATCTGGAAACAAGAAAGGAGCTGTTTCCTGGTGAAAATTTTAAACCAAAACATCATTACATGCTTCACTATACGTCACTCATTTTAAGTCTTGGACCTTTAATTCGTTTATGGTCATTGAGATTTGAAAGCAAACATTCCTACTTCAAAAGAAGTGTGAGAAGAACACAGAACTTCAAAAATGTATGCAAGACATTGTCTCACAACCATCAACTTCTTCAAGCATATCTTCACTCACGGTCATTTTTTTCACCAAAGCTTAAAAGTGTTGACTTGGCCACATACTCTCCTCATTTGTACAGTGATGCTGTGTGCAAAGCTGTTGAGACAAGTTTGCTTAATGAACCAGACTTTGTTTCAACACGGGTAGAATACAAGGGTACCCTGTACAGGAAAGGAAATTTAATTTGCCTTAAATGTGAAGAGGAGGATTCTATTTTACAGTTTGGACAGATTGAGCTGATTTTCGTGAAAGATGATGATGTGACTTTCCTTGTGACTCCCCGCACCTCAGTGTATTTGCATGATTATGGACTTTATGAGATTTTGTCTGCGACAAAGGAATTAATTTGTGTAAATGCAGAGGAATGTCTGGATTATTATCCCTTAAATGAGTACAGTTTTATGGGACTGAAGGTCATTACTCTGAAGCACAGCGTTGTTCATCTGTAAAAAGGATAAACTGTCCTCTCCCAACAGAAATGGATGCATTGTTGATTTTTATTGAGAATGTGTTCCCAAACCCTATAACTTCAAAGCTAGCCATAGAGGGTTTGAACAGCCTAGGTGTGGAGACCATAGATGACCTACAGTTTTTGAAAGAAGATGATCTAGGTGGCTTTCTGAGACCGATTGAAGCAAGAAAACTAATAGCCCAAATCCCAAGTAAGTTTTCAAATCAATGGTTGTTTTTACATATACACTAGTCAACATTTGAAGCGGATCAAAAAGTTCATTAAGTTCACAAGAACAGGTATTGGTTTTAAGACAACTGAAAGGTTTGATCCACTTTAAATGTTGACTTATGTACATGCATACAATTAGATGAACTGGAAAAACAACACCCCAGTCTCTTTCATTCTGTACTTTGTTAGCTGTACTCTTTACTTGTATTACAGTATGCCAATGTGTTTCTTGTTTCTGCAGTATGGTTTTTAATGCAGTTTTTTGTTTATGCCATGTAGATATTGCTTCCACTCTGCAAAACACTGCCAATGAGTTGTCTGCTGAATACACTTCTGATGCATCAGGTTCACCTGCTCCCGGATGCTCAATTTCACCATCCAGCTCTTCAAGTGGAAGACGTGAGTTAAACGCTGATACAACATTAAACAATCCACAAACATTTTGAAAGCAAAACATGTAGTTTGAAAGCAAAACGTGTTGTCAATTCTTGTAATTCATATACAGAGAATTTGCTATGTGAGCATGCCCAGCCTTTAGCACGCCTGGCAAACAAATTGTGCCACACATGCAGTTCACAGAACGATATATGTATATGTATATGTACAAACCAGATTCCAAAAAAGTTGGGACACTGTAGAAATTGTGAGTAAAAAAGGAATGGAATAATTTACAAATCTCATAAACTTATATTTAACTTTTCCGGCCTCTTATTGCTACCTGTCCCAACTTTTTTGGAATGTGTATCTCTCATGAAATCCAAAATGAGCCAATATTTGGCATGACATTTCAAAATGTCTCACTTTCAACATTTGATATGTTATCTATAATCTATTGTGAATAAAATATAAGTTTGAGTAAGATTTGTAAATTATTCCATTCCTTTTTTACTCACAATTTCTACAGTGTCCCAAATTTTTTGGAATCGGGTTTGTATATGTATATGTGTATATGTATACAAGTCTGCAGATTTATTGTACACTAGTACACATTTGAAGAGCTTTGGGTATTGGTTTTAAGACAACTATTATGAAAGGTTTTGATCCTCTTAAAATTTTGACTAGTGTAGTTTGATGGTACAAATCAAACTGTGATGGCACGGGGCCTCAAAACATTGATTTTGGAAATTGCATACATTGTGATCCGTACATGTGCCACTGTGGTGATTACCTGGTGCATGAATGGCCAAAACGTCTCCAGTTGAGTCCGCATCTTATGCCAGCGGAGAGTGAAGACTGTTGTGCATTGTTCAGAGCAACTACAGGGCCACAGTGCAGTCAGCAACACGTTAAATGTGCCCATTTCATGCTAGTGATTTGTTGCACTGTGGTCCTGCGGTCCCTGTGAAAAATGCACAACAGTCTCCCCTCTGACAATAATGCACTGCGGACATAAAACAAGTCTGTGCACCACTTTAAATGCGTACTCTATATAGTGGCACATGAACAACCCACAAAGCCCCATGCCATCTCTGTTTGTCTGTTATTTAACTTCAATAAATCTGCAGCTTGGGAATAGGCAATTTTGCCAAAAAGTTACTGCTGCATGAAAAGTGTTTATCATGTAACCTGGACATTGGTTTATCTTCTAGGTGACAGTCGCTGTGAAACTTCGTTTTATGACCATGACTGGCATTATAGTTTTGATGTTCCATGGCAAAAAATGCCAGCAAGTTTTATGGAAAAGTTGCAAAATGGTGAAAGGCCAAGTTGCTCAGAGAGAAGACAGTTGGTCCGCATTGTTGCTTCTGAGATCCTGGAAGTCAGCAAATGTCCAGCAAAAAAACATGTATCAGAAATAGCCCGACAAATGGTGATTGCGTACCCAAAGTCTTTCAGAGATGAGATTAATTCCCAGGTTGTAGGAAGTGGATATGATTCTCTCCTCAAACAACTGGTGTGTAGAATTGACAATTTTAAAAGGGCAAAAGCTATTAGTACACCACTTTGTGGTACTCTAGAAGTATCAACAAAGAAACGAAAATTGTTATATGGTTGTATAAATTCTGATCCACAACTGCTAGTTGGAGAAACATCCAAATTGCAGCAGGAAAATAAAGAGAAGTTGCTAGTAATGTTTCAAAATAATGAAAGTGATGTAAAGACAATCTATGACTTAATGACTTCTACTTACACCTCTCAAAGAAACAACATCCAATCTGGAAAGGAAACCAAAGATTTACTTGATGAGTGGCCATATCTTTTTCAGCCAGCAGGAATGAAAGCACACTTTAAAGAGCTCACTGGCATTGACATAAACAACAGCTTTGAAGAATCTGCTTCCAGTAAGTTCAGAAGAATATTGGACTACTTTCAATTTCAGTGCACAGAAAGAGCAAGCAGAGCAGGGAGAATCCTCACAAAGTATAGAGCTGGAGGGGATCATGTTTGTGGGGCAGTGATGTTGCTGCTAACCCATTTCAAAAATGACCAAGACCACTTTCTTGTGATGGTAGAAGACACCTCTGTTCCAAGTGATATATGCTCAGAACAGCTTCCAGCAACACCATGTATAGTGGTGTGTGGTGGGTATTATTTACTTGCAACACAATAATTCCTGGTTTCAGGGGACCAGAACTCACATTCTGTTAAATATTATGTCTTACTGATTTTGTTTGTTCAAAGGAGAGAACCCACTGACAGCCAGTGTGTACATGGTAGCAGTAGACCAGATGATTGTAAATGACCATCTCTTGAGTTTTACAGAAGCCCTGTATCTGATGTTCTCTCTTTACTATATATTGAACATCAGTTACCCTGTAGAACTGGGAGCCACACTAGAATTCTTGCAAAGGTAATTCATAGACTGCATTCCTTTGGTTAAGAAGCATACAACAATTATTTAAGGATATTGTTTGTGTTGTGTTTTAAAGGTGCATCTTTAGGATTAATCCTCATAAAGGTACCAAGGTGGAAAAGAGAGAGAAAAAGAGAGCGTACTCTGTCAACCCCAGAGTATTGAGTCTGACGTCAAAAATTGCTGCATTTGACTGGGGAGAGTAACAGGTATAGAAGCTCTGTTGTCTTGTATAGTAGTGGTAGACTTCATCTTCTGTGTTTATCATTCATCAATGATAAAGTGCACCAAATGACAATCATTTTTATAATTAACTCCAATAAATGTGATGTAATCGTCTGTGGCCAAAACTGAGAGTATTTGGTTAAGGCTTGTTGCTGTTTCTGCTCTTCTTTTGGTTTGGGTTTTAATTTAAACTGTTTGTGTCCCCACAGATTCAGGTCTTTCAGAAGATTGACATTTCGCTGAAGAACAGGACAGACCGACTTTTTGTACTTCAGTGCAGCGCTTTGTTCCTTAAATTAGTTGTATTGCCTTGTGATGTGATTAGTATTTAATTTTTTTTTTTTTAATTGAACAAATTTGTGATCTAAAACATGACTTTTGCTGGGAAGTGTTTTTCCATTGTTTGATCTTGAAGGTTTGCTATATAATCAAAAGCTGAAATTGTTTACAGCAATACTCTGGCTACCATAATTTATTGTATAACATTTTACAAAAAAATTTGTTTCAAGAGTATTTTTAATTTGTTTTTTAACATTACTTCTGTCACACAGTATACAAATATGCTCCTGTACATTTGGTTTAAATAAATAAATTCACTAGAAAAAGATTATGGCATGAAAACATGTAAGCCTTTACTAAAACTTTGACTTCCATGGTATTTTTTTCGACTATGCGCTTAAGTCATGATTCATGACGTAAGGAATACTGTGTCCGGGTTTAACCCTCCACTGATTTAAATCGAGGATATGAATCCATTTATTTATCTCACCCATTTAGGCAACACCTTTATAAACTCTGTGTATGTTGCAGTCTCCCGGCTCTCAAAATCACAGACAGCAATATATCCAATAGTGCCTTAGAGATATGGCTTATAGCCGTGGCTCCCTGGGCAGCCCTGAGATGATGCCAGGGGGGCCCCAGTTTTATGACATTTTATAAAATAAATTAATTTATCCTAATTTCTGTGTAAATAAATTTGAGAACCACTGGCTTATAGATTTGGCTTTTTTTGTGATAAAAAAAAGCCATTTATTTGCAATGAAAATTTTGAAAGTGGAAATAACGTGCTTTATTAAGAGAAGAGTGTTTATTAAAAATAAGTATTTATTGGGTAAGCTTAGGGGTCGGTGTAGAAGGGCTTTTATTCTCACAACAATGTAGCATCCATTTAACAATTTTAAAGGGGTGGTATAATGCCCTTTTCACAAGATGTAAAATAAGTCTCTGATGTCCCCAGAGTGTGTATATGTAGTTTTAGCTAAAAATACCCCACAGATATTTTTATATAGCATGTTAAAGTTGTCACTTTTTGAGGGTTAGCAAAAACGCACCGTTTTGTGTCTGGTCCTTTAAATGCAAATGAGCTGCTGCTCCCGGCACAAGGGGCGGAGCTTCAAGCGCTCATGTGTGTTAGCAGCGCCGATTACCTCATGCAGAAACACACTAAAATGTCAGAAACTGTTCTGCCTTTTATGTTCAAACCGGAGTCAGACACAGATGGAGAGACTCAAGATAGAAAAAGTGACAACATGTAGAATGCAACAGGACATTTCTGAATGCTTAGTTGATGAATTTATGTTGATGATTTGGAGTTAACTATCTAGAGTTAGCATATTCTGTCAGGATAATCTATAAATCGCTCGTATAGGAACTGTTGTGAGATGCACACAGAGTGACTTTCTATTGCATGTGAAAAGACGGCTGCTACAGTTTGAGCTGACTCACAAATGTGCTCGACTACAAGCTCTTCCCCTTCTCAACATGGACTGTGTGTTCCCAGGGGCGAGTTTATGTAAATTTTCAGGTTTGTGATGTCACTAACCCGGGAGGAATGTCTTGTAGTTCCTACCAGCCGTTTGTTGTAGTCCTTAAAAAACAATTTCTTTAAAAGCAAACATCTCCCTTTGCTTTGAACTTTGAGCGTTGTAACTTTGCAGATGTTGTTTATGCTCAAACAGCAACATTACACACTAACTAAAGCTAGAAAAGTGAAATCATAATCAACCCCTTTAATAAATATAACCATTTGCACTCTATGATAATTATTGGATCCTGTTAATCTACAAAAATACTAAGGTGCAACTATCTGCCAATATAGATAGCATCTAATTAGCATGTACACTTACTGCAAATTTGATAATTATATTTATTAAATGAAAATAATTTACACCTAATGTAAATAGCATTACGTAAAAATGCTGATATTGTATTATACTTATAGTGAAAATAAAAATATATCTGTATTTTTCTTAGTGTAAATCTACAGCTGGTTATTTCGGATTTTGATATGGAAATCATGACAATTAGCTTACCTTAACAATAAATGGTTTTCCAGAAGTGGTGTAACAAGTGGGTTGGACAGGAGTGTGCGTTTGGATGAGGATACCAATAAGTGAAAGCATACTCAAAATGTGACCTTTTTAACCCATCCCAGTGAGTGTTGAACACACACATCCCCGGAGCAGTGTGGGGAGCAATTAGGGTAAGGTGCCTTCCTCAAGGGCACCACAGTCACAACACGCCGGCCATGAGACTCGAACCGGCAACTCTTGGGTTACAAGCCCGACTCTCAAACCACTAAGCTACAACTGCCCCCACAGTAATAAAATGCTCTAACAGCCACAAGAGAAAACTGATGCCTTTCGCCACTAACCACAGCAGCAAAAAACTAAAAAAATATGATTTTATAAACAACACAGTCCAGCACCAGATCGCCTCTTTAACAAACGAACGGTATGACATGCATAAAAACAATAGTAGGCTAAACACTGACTATAAATCAAGGAAACAACATGTGTCGGATCACCAATGAAGTTTAGAAAAGATGCGCAATTTAACCTACTGTCTTCAGTGGCACAGGCACTAGTCTGGAAGCCTTGTTTATTTGATGCTTGTTTCAAAGTCCTTGGTTCAAATCTGTAATTTATACCTTTTGGTATCACAAATCACATCGAAAAGGCATTTATTTTCAACAAAAATTAAGTAGAATTAAAGTGTCTAACGTGTATTTAATAAAACACCTTATACTATTATTGCATCCTGTTAAGGCTACACAATTACTGAGATGCAAACAGAATCTGCCAAAATATAGAATATAGCATCTAATTACTATACATTATTGCAAACTATCACGACATTTACATGATCTAAATAGAATATATAGCTATTTGTTTTCAGTGTGAATCACAACTGTTGCTTTTTGCACTTAGTGCATAGTCACTGCCTAATTCAACTGGAAATATATAGGCTATTTGGTGTTAATGTATGCATTTTTGTGGAATTTCACCGTTCTGATGAAAATGTTTTATGACTGTGAAATTCTACTGGTTTTCTCTGCAAAACGACATTTTTTTTCAACTCTGACCAAAAAATATACAGGAATGTTTTTTTAAGGACATGTCAGGATAACAATAGACAATAATTACTGTTATTTAAAGGAAAATTTCATTTTTTTGCAGTAACCAATTTAAATAGTTAAAAAACAGGGAAAATGTACATTAGATGTCAATGTTAGCATTTTTATGGAGTTTCACAGTTCTGATCAAAATGTCATAATACTGTTAAATTCTACCGTTTTTTTCTGTAAAAATACATTTATTTTTTACAGTGTACTCTAGCATTAAAATGCATTTTCAGACCTCTGCATTCAGTTTCATTGATTTTCTTCTTCAAATATGTTGTAACACAAGAGAGATAATTGAATAAAAAGAAGAGTGACAACTGTATTTATCAGCAGTGTGAATGAGAGTAAAAGTCTCTCGATTGGTTGTGTGATCATGATCAAGTAGAGAGAGTTTAGAGGACAATGATGTTGAACTCACCCTTCACAGAGAGAGAAACAGCAGAGCTTGATGTTGATGAGTTTGGTCTTCCATCTCTCTGTCCTTTACACCAGTACTGACCCTGATCAGACTCAGTAGCTCCTCTGATAGTGACAGTGTCTCTGTTTACAGTGTAACGCTCAGACTTCTGTAACTTTACACTGTCTTTATACCACTCATATCTCCAGTCACTGTGATCAGAGTTTATCACACACTTCAGATTGACTGTTTCTCCAGTGAATACAGCACTGTCTGGTGTCACAGTCACGGTAGATGTGGGTAAACCTGAGAAGAGAGCAGAACACAAACTGACTAGAGGACAAATGATTATTGCGCAACAGCGTCAATCGCTGCAGTGTCTCATTCCCTGTTCTCAGGGAACATAGTCGTAACCTGAGACGTTTTCTCTTCAGCTCCGTCATGATCTCAGACAAACACTGGTCAAAAACATCAGCTGTGAAACTGAACTGTTCATATGATTGTTTCCATCTCTAAACCAGCTGTATCTGTCAGGATTCCACCCTTGTTTCTATACAGTGTTTGTGTCTGAACAGTATTGCTGGCTTGTGCTCGGATCTAGTTACTCGTGACCAACAGCTTCATGCTGGTTAGAAAGACTGACTGACGTGATCAGGATGATGGAGACTATAAAACTCTTAGTCGTTTGATATGAAATTCATTTTATAATACAGTTATGGTGCTTTTGTGTCCTATTTGAATTCTGAAAGTTAATCATGTCATTCTCTAGCTATAATAGCAATAAGCACATTATTAAAACAATCTTTTTAAAAAAAAATTGTTCCAGGAAAGATATAGATTTGAAACAACACAAGGGTATGGGAGATTAAATGATGACAACATTTTCATTCTCAGGAGAGCTAATTTTGAAACTTTGGTGTAAATGTCGGATAAAATGCATCTTAAATCTAATATTTGATGAACTGCAAATCATAATCAAGTACAAAACAATGACAGTCTGAAAAGCAAAGCTGCATTTGTATAAAGACTCAAAGATTCTCAGAGAGTGCAAGCAGCTAAAAAAGTGATTACATACAGAAATATGTTTTATGTTTATTAAAAACTTGAATGTTACTGAATAGATGGAATTTAAGTGTAATTAGCAGCCATTAACATAACTATTTTAGCTGTTTCTCAGATCTGTGTTCACATGCGTCAGAAAGACGACTTTATCTGTTGTGTTTCTCTGTTTTATAAGAACTCTTGCCATGAGTGTTGTGTTTTTAAGATTACACTTAAAGTTAAAAAAAACTCTAGCTTTAAAACGCAATTTCAGACCTCTGCATTCAGTTTCATTGATTTTCTCCTTCAAATATGTTGTAACGCAAGAGAGATAATTGAATAAAAAGAAGAGTTACAACTGTATTTATCAGCAGTGTGAATGAGAGTAAAAGTCTCTCGATTGGTTGTGTGATCATGATCATTTAGAGAGAGTTTAATGGCGCTTTTCCACTGCATGGTACGGCTCGGTTCGCCTCGGTGCAGTTCGACTCAGCGCGGAACAGTTCGGCTCACTTCGCTTTTCCACTGCGTGGTATGAATCGACTCGGTACGGCAAGGCTCGGTTCGCTTTAGCTTGGTTGCTTTTCCACTGCAGTTAGTACCGCTTCAAAGTGGGTGGGTGGGAGTGATAGTTATAGTTGCGCAACTCCTCGGCAACCAACGAGAGGAACGTCTGCACCTCGTCCAATGACCACGATTCAGCTATTTCTTTTTTGAAGTTTTCCTGTTCTTTTTTCAAGCAAGTACTTTAAAAACAGGTGCTACAGCATTGGCTGTTGTCTACTGGCTATTTTAATCTAGCGGGTTTTAGTGTCTCGTGTCGCAAATACAATGACGCTGGTAGTGATGATTCTGTCTGTCTGATATAGATGTGAAACAACACAAGGGTGTGGGAGATTAAATGATGACAACATTTTCATTCTCAGGAGAGCTAGTGTTGAAACTTTGGTGTAAATGTCGGATAAAATGCATCTTAAATCTAATATTTGATTAACTGCAAATCATAATCAAGAACAAAAAAATTACAGAATCGTCTGAAAAGCAAAGCTGCATTTGTATAAAGACCGTCTCAGGTTACGTATGTAACCCTGGTTCCCTGAGAGGGAACAAGACGCTGCGTTTGAGACGCGGTGGGAACGCTCTGCGTGATTACGTCGTGAAGCACATGTAAAATCAGTCCAATGGAAGCCCGAAACGTCATAGGCGGGTGACGTCATAGACCAGGAAACTATAAAGCACCCCTGAATTCAGACCGCGCCAGCTTCTGAAAAAACCTGAAGCAAGTCGATCAGGGCATGCAGGAACTATGGCAGGTAAACGCAGCGTCTCGTTCCCTCTCAGGGAACCAGGGTTACATACGTAACCTGAGACGTTCCCTTTAAAGGGAACTTCGAGCTGCGTTTGAGACGCGGTGGGAACCCCATACCCACTACGCCATAGTGACAAATGCCCGTTCTGTGTGAAGTCCTTGCGCACACTAAGAAGCAAGCAACCTCGCCCCTGAAGTGGAGAGGTCAAGGTCATAAAACCTGACAAATGTATGTGGAGAGGACCAGCCTGCCGCATTACAGATATTAAGAAGGGAAACACCCGAAATTAAGGCCGTAGAGGCCGCCATACTCCTTGTAGAATGGGCCCGTACAGCCATAGGTGAAGGCTGACCGGCCGCTTCATAAGCCAATGATATAGCCTCAACTATCCATTTGCTCATAACCTGTTTAGATGCAGGGCACCCTCTCTTGAGTGACCCAAAGCAGACAAACAATTGTTCAGACTTACGCCACAGGGCAGCCCTGTGAACGTAGGCATCTAATGCCCGAACTGGACATAACAGGTTCAGTTGTTCCTGATCTGGGGTATTAAAAGGTGGAGGATAAAAGGCCTGCAGCACTATTGGGCCCCCAACATTAACTGGGACCTTAGGAATATAACCCGGTCTAGGGTAGAGAAATGCTTTCACCATACCAGGTGCAAATTCCAGAAATGAGGGAGCAACCGACAGGGCATGCAAATCTCCAAATCTCTTGATAGACGAAATAGCAAGGAGAGTGAGGAATTTCTCTGAAACCTCTTCAATGGGCTCGAAAGGAGCCAAAGCCAGACCCTCAAGTACAATGGCCAAATCCCAAGCCGGTGCTCTAGAGTGCAGTGCAGGTCTCAACCTCAGTGTACCACGGAGAAAACGAGTAATAAGAGGATCTCTCCCGATAGATAGCAAAGAACTAAGTTACATGAAACAATCCAACTACATATTTTACACCACTGACAAGGGAAAAGTCACTACTCACGGTGTTTATGGCTAGCTTCTAGCTTTCTGCGGCTTCTCTTTCAAGGTAGTGACGAAGCGCGCTCTGTAGCGCTGTGTGTTCGCTGTCGGCTACGGTAGAAACATGACGTCACAATATGTAGCTGCCAGCAGAGACAGTTGCATAATTTAAGTTCCATAAAATAATAGTTTTAATTTAATAAGTAATCACGTTTAAATATATCATAATATATTTATCTGCATTTCTTTTACTTTGAAATATATATACAAGCAGATTTGTTTATGTAGGCTTATATAGCGGAACTATTGTTCTGAGGTTCGGTTGGTTCAGACGTTTATTGATGCTACATCAGCATCGTAGCATCGGAGAATGTCATAGCGCATACAGAGCTAACTGCGGCTCGTTAAGTTTTTGGTAATGTCATTACATTTGTAAGTTCACCGAGAGACACACGGAAGAGAAGTTGCCTTTGTTACCTGTTTGTTTCACTCCCCTGGAGTTAACGCGGCCAATGAGGTGTGCATAGTTATGTTAATGTGTAATTATCAATGTAAAGCATAACTGTGTGACGATTTAATAACAGTCAATCTAACATGTTTCTTATTTATTAATGTGCTATTCTCTGTGAGAATATTCTTATTTCTGTAACTTGTCATGTGATTTTTATGTTTTATTTAGTTCTCACGGCATGTTTGATGGCATTGAGGACGACATCATTTGACTAATAAATGCCCATAAACAAGAACGCCTTGTGTCCGCATCTGTTAACTGGAGGGAGCTATACAATATGTCGACCTTTATAGAAGGGGGTGCCCGCGGTTATGTAGATATAAATGTCTCATTCTAAGGCAATAAAAACATTACGGTTTATTAAGTAAGTTCTTTATACACTACTGAAAACATAGTTATGGATGTCATATTGCATTTCTGTTAATAGTACTCAAAATTTTTACACATTGCACCTTTAAGGATTCAACTCACTCATTTGTCGCCACCTACTGGCGGGTGTAATTTCATAGAAATTTCATAGTAGCCTATTACCGTTATTTAATATTTCAACATAATATATATATATATATATATTTAAAACAATCTCTTAACATAATTTATGCAAAATCTTTTGCTGATTGTCACTTCATTTGATTGTAGCCATACAGTGTATTTTTACTCAAATGTAATTTATTCATTGAGGACACAGATATGACAATATATTTGTATAATACTATCTCTGGCTTTATTGCTCGTTATTGCAGGGTTTTGATCTTCTCTCAACTGAGAAAGAGCACATCCTGTATTTTATTGTATTATATAACGACTATTTAATATTACATCTAAATCTTGAGTACGCTAGGCATGTTGTGTATTCATTTTTCTATGAAACTCAAGCATATTTTAATGTTTGTGTATTTTTTGCTACTCCATAATGATGTTCTAGTTGAGCTCATTTGTAGGTGAGTCCTGCCCTGTCTGTGATACACTGTATTTTGTTGCCAGTTAAGGCTTAGAAATAACAGTGAAAAAAAATATGGTAAATAATAACAATATTTAAAAAAAACATGTGGCATACAATGATTGTATAACATAACTGTGTAATAACCGTTGTAAGAGCCAATATAATATGATTATATTCGATTTGCTTTCCCCACTTTATATCACATCTGAGAGTGACTGTTTCTCCTCTAAACACTCGTTCATCAGGTCGAACCGTCACCACAGCTTTAGCACTCACTGAACAAACACAGATTATTGCATTTATAGTTTCAGAAGTTGTGTAGATATTGTCTGATCTGTATTTGTTGCATCACACACTACAGTCTCTCTCACCTGTAACATTTACCCACAGTGCATCACTGTATTGTGTGTGATAGACTGGTTTCCCTCTTCCAGCTCTACACCAGTACTGGCCTCCATCAGACACTGAATCAATCTTCAGGCTGTAGGAGTTTGTTTCTGTCTTCTCTGTCTCAGGGTTCAGTGTGTTTTTGTACCAGTAAAAGTCCCAATATCCAGTAGACGGATCCATGCGACAGGTCAAAGTCACTGTGTTTCCAGTCAGTGCAGCTCCTGCAGGATCTGATGTGAGTTCAGGCTTTAGATCTGCAGGAGAACAACAACAGATTCAGATCCTCAAGAGTCAGAGTTCGTTCCGGGTTACTTGACTGTAAACCCTGTTCCCTGAAAAAGCGGAACGAGATGCTGCGCTGCTTAGCGCATTGGGAACGTCTTTAATCGAGACCCGCTGTGAATATAGTGTGTAAACACGGTCGATAGAATCGACCGGAAGTAATAGCCTCGGTCGGTGATGTCATCGTCGCGCGCCCGCGTGGCGTGCACCCGACTTTTTTTCTCAGAAATAATTTAGACCCTGCGGCCTCATATGAGGACATTACATTTTTGCCTCTTGACACAATGATAGTCAAATTTGTAAATCTTAGACATGTTGGCCACATTTAGGGGCACTGCCCACACCATCTTGTAGTGATATCACAACATTACACCAATGTCAGTGAGAAGAAAATGACCCTAACCCTAACCCTAACACTTCTACACCAGTTCCCGAAAGAAAAATGACCCAGGTAAAAAAATCTATTCAAATTATATGAATGAAACAAATATATCTATGTACAATACTGTCTCTATCATCATATGGGGATTAAAATTTGACATATTTTAGTAATAGTAGCACTCTAGGACATCAGTAAATATGAAGTACTCGTTTGAGGACATTGGGACTATATTACGTTATCCCCTTAACTGTCACCGGCCCACGTGGGACGTTTGCCCATATATATTTAGAACAATAATATCTTAGTAAAAACCTAAAGTAATATTGACAAACTAAATATCATTTGAAAGCTTACAATCTCTAGTTTTCATATTTGGTGGCTGTTTTTTAAAATAAATTACAGAATAGCAGTAATTTATCAATTTACAACAAGAATATTTCATATTCATTAGGCGTGTTTAGGCCTTTATTTTGAAATAGAAAAAAAAACCCATGGAAAATCATGAAAGATTGGTAGAAACCTCAGTTTGTTTTCATGCCAAGAGTTCTAAAGATAACACTAATGAAATGTTATGAGAAAAAAAGGTCTGAAAATTTTTAGAATATAAAGAAAAATATTATGAATTCTCGATTTGTGATGTGGCAGCGAGCTATAACGCACATATGTGCCCTTTTTTACGTTTATTAGAGGTTGAAATCAAATCAAATACTGCCAAAACACCCATACTATTTCTGAATAGGATGTATACTTAATAAATTGTATGAAATTATGGAAAGACATGGTTCAGATCACTCAAAACATATGAAAATGGAGACACCCTTATATTGTCAGTAAGGAAGCTGGCTGTCCATCTAGTGAAAAAGTTTGGTACTACGCCCAAATAAAATCTTACTGAAAGCTCATTTTTTGAGATATCAACCTAAAATTTGGAACACAACTTGTTTAGATTTTTGGCTTTAATTTTCTAGCAGTTTAGAGTAAAATATATTTTATAATATATAAATTTTATATAAAATATAAATAATTATATTTTTACATTCTATATTTTCATAAACTCAAACTTATATAACTTTTTTTCTGTTTCACTTTCATAATTTATTTCACTTCTACAATAATCTGGCAAATGTCTTCTTAAAAACAAGACCAACCACATGTCTATATTCCAAAGCATTCTTGAATTACAACCATTTTACAACCACAAGTTTTTCTTTTTTTTTTATTGCTAGTACTGTGTCCTCACACGAGGACATCATATGGTAAATCATAGACCCACTGTCCTCACGTGAGGACATCATTTTCTGCAAAAACTACTTCCTGTACAAAAACAAATTTTAGTTATTATATTTAGTAGGTCCTACTTATCCCAAATAGCAAGAACAATTATAAAATGCACACCAGGCAAACTCTCGGGTCTCAGGAGGTTAAAAAAATCAAATTGATTTTTTTATGTTCTATGAGAAAATACTTTCTCTCAAAACTTTTTTTAGTCTTAAATATTATTTTTTGCTATTGATATGAAAACTTTTCTCTCAAATATAATGTTTTCTCTCATGAAATGCTTTATTGCTATCAGTGTGATAACTTTTTTTCTCAAACTTTTTTTCTATCTCAGATCATTTATTTTCTCCCATGTAATAAAGACACATTTCTAGCTCCATACTTATTCAGCCTATTTATTTAGTCCTTTTTTGTATAACCTATAGAAATTATAAATTTAAATTGCAGTTTTATGAAAATTAGATACAAATAAAATTGACTTGTTTTTCTCCACTCATGCCTTTTTGTAAATAAACAACATCAAAGCATTAACATTTGTGTGGGGAAATCAGTTACAGTGGAGGTAACCAATCAATGCAGGTTTAAGATACAGACCACTGTAATCAATATCTTTCTTTGGAAAACAACGTAAGCATTTGTTGTGCTTACATTTACAGCTATTGCAAGCAGGGGGCGCTTATTCAAACCTTTTTGTTATGAAATTGGGCACTCATCAGACAAACTGTAATTAGGTATACATGTGATATTATCAATTTAAAGGAATTTAATGACTTCAAGTATTTAAATATGTTATTTAAGGCTTTATATAAGTATTTAAGCCTTTCAGGATTAGAATGAGAGCTTGTGCTCAGGTCAGGACAAGTATAAGAACTTGATTTGGCTTTCCTGACAGCAGAAGTATTTTACAAGTCCTGATAATGTGGGCTGGCGTGGCTACAGTGCCAGTGTTAAGCAATTTTAACATAATATCGTCATCATATCAGTGTAGATGGACCAAAATAAAACCATTAAAATATCAAGTAAATAAGTATTGTGATACTTGGTGCCACAGTGACACTCTTGTCCCAAAAAGTATTGCTATACCACGATACTCAATATGTTGTCCCATGGTGAGTCATTTTTCCCTGTTGGACCTACACAAAATTTGAGGGTTCCCCCACCTGCCACATCCCACTTTAACCACTGCTTATACACACACACACACATACACGCACACGTAAACCCCTCCATCATTGAAAAAAACAATCAACCGAGCAATAGCCCTCAACCTCCTTCTCGGAAAAAAATGCACGCATGACTCCCCTTCTGCCATCACCTACCGACCCAGCTGGGCAGTCCTTGTGTATTTCAGTGCAGTGCAAGCACAGAGCCAACGAGTAGGGCACCCGGAACCCTTGCCTATATTGTCTGGAAAATGCACTCCAGTTAACAACACACGAGAACTGAGAGTAAAAGTCTCTCGATTGTATGTGTGATCATGATCAAGTAGAGAGAGTTTAGAGGACAATGATGTTGAACTCACCCTTCACAGAGAAAGAAACAGCAGAGCTTGATGTTGATGAGTTTGGTCTTCCATCTCTCTGTCCTTTACACCAGTACTGACCCTGATCAGACTCAGTAGCTCCTCTGATAGTGACAGTGTCTCTGTTTACAGTGTAGCGCTCAGACTTCTGTAACTTTACACTTTCTTTATACCACTCATATCTCCAGTTTCTGTGATCAGAGTTTATCACACACTTCAGATTGACTGTTTCTCCAGTGAATACAGCTCTGTCTGGTGTCACAGTCACTGTAGATGTGGGTAAACCTGAGAAGAGAGTAAAACACAAACTGACTAGAGAACAAATGATTATTGCATTGCCCAACAGCATCACTCGATGCAGTGTCTCATTCCCTGTTCTCAGGGAACATAGTCGTAACCTGAGACGTTTTCTCTTCGGCTCCATCATGATCTCAGACAAACACTGGTCAAAAACATCAGCTGTGAAACTGAACTGTTCATATAATTGTTTCCATCTCTAAACCAGCTGTATCTGTCAGGATTCCGCCCTTGTTTCTATACAGTGCCCAGCCAGCACAGCCATGTGGGGCCCACATGGGTTAGACCTGGGCTATCTAACTGGGACCCAGACAGTTTTGCTCCCGGTTTCCATGTAGGCCCCACATGGGTTTGCCCAGATGAAATGAATACTGCTCAGTGTGCACACTACAGGCTGTTAAATGTAACACTGACCAGTGTTGGAGTTAATGAGATAATTAAGTGATTGATTAATGATTGAGCATTATTGAAGACACCTGATGTTAACAAGCAGAATCACTGAAGGAGAAAATCACAAATTGTAAGCCACCGGTATGGCGATCAGCGTTTGCTTTAGTTGGACTCTTGACCCTTAGACTGTCACTTTAAATTTTGTTTGTCTGCTGTTATTGATTTATAACAGTCAAATGAACAAAGAAAAGTGTGATCTTATAGTGTTGGTTATGTTTTGGCATAATCATGCTGTGATCTGATAAATGAAACTTATTGAGATGGTTCAACTTCTGGTTCAACTTGTTAGCAACAGCTTTGTGATTCCACAGCATATGATTATCAGTATTTTTTTAATCCAAAATATTTCATAAACATTGTTCTGATCAAAACACTTTCAAATGAATTTATTTAGAAACACAGACATCAATAACCAGTCTGTGAATCTCAACAATGGTGACAATAATAATGCATGTTGCAGTGGCTGCCACCAATCACAACTCATTACTGGCTCCCATCATGCATTGCGGTATGAATAAATTATGATCTGAATTGTCTATGTAATTTACTTTTCCTAATTGAATATTCTGCTCGTCACCATTATTGAGATGCATTGACTGAATCTTGACGTCTGGGTGTGCCTAAAAGAAAGATTTTTTTTTTTAAAACAACTTTTAAGAAATCCTTTATATTATATCTAAAATTCTGGATATTTATGCAGAATCACAGTTATGCTGTAACCAACAGCATAAATCACTAAACATAAGGTTCAAATGATGACATAAATTTCATAATATAACCAACACCATTACATAACTTTTTTTTTTTTTTTTTTTTTTTTTTTTTCTGGCAGTTATAAGTCAGAAACAACAGCCAAACAAAATCTAAAGTTAATAACATAAGGGTCAAGAGCCCAACTAAAGCAAACAATGATCGCCATAACGGTGGCTTACAATTTTCTCCTTCAGTGATTCTGCTTTAGGTGTCTTCAATAATCTTCAATCATATTCAATCACTTAATTATCTCATTAACTCCAACACTGGTCAGTGTTACATTTAACAGCCTGTAGTGTGCACACTGAGCAGTGTTTATTTCATCTGGGCAAACCCATGTGGGGCCTACATGGAAACCGGGAGCAAAACTGGCTGGGTCCCAGTTAGATAGCCCACGTCAAACCCATGTGGGCCCCACATGGCTGTGCTGGCTGGGTGTTTGTGTCTGAACAGTATTGCTGGCTTGTGCTCGGATCTAGTTACTCGTGACCAACAGCTTCATGCTGGTTAGAAAGACTGACTGACGTGATCAGGATGATGGAGACTATAAAACTCTTAGTGGTTTGACTTCATTCATATGAAATCAGGATTAATTTTATAATACAGTTATGGTGCTTTTGTGTCCAATTTGAACTCTGAAAGTTAATCATGTCATTCTCTAGCTATAATAGCGATCAGCACATTAATAAAACAATCTTTTAAAAAAAAACATACAATTAAAGTAAAATATCTTAATTTAAATAAAGTGTAAAAAACTTTAATAGAAATGTGATGTCACCATGATTGAGATCAGTGTTTGCTTTAGTTGGGCTCATGACTCTTGAGTTTCAACATTACTTTTTCTCTGGCTGCCTTAACTGTGTTTTGATGCACATTTATTATGGCAATATTTGCAAGAGAAAATATAAGATGATCTTGGTCATTTATTGATGATTTTATAGTCATCATATGATGATCTGATTAATTGATATGACAGTCAAATCTCTGTTAGCTGTGAATACATTATATGTAGATAGACTTCAGTGTTATACAAAGGCAAGTATTATCATACTTTTTTCACATGATTTGTTGAAATATTGTGGGATCAGTATTATTGCAATCTCAAAAAAAATATATATATATATTCTACATAATTTTTTTTTAGTTGGTTTATTTTGTTAGGAGTATAGAGACATCAAGAATCAACATATGAATCTCAACAATGGTGACAATCAACAAAGCCTTTTTGTGACTTTATAATAGGTCAGAATTTTTTTCATTGTCACCATTGTTGAGATTCATACGCTAATTCTTGATATCTGAGTGAGTCTGTATTATCCTGTCAAAAGATTGTTTGCATAATGACTTCATAAAATCTTATATAACAGCATTGTAGGATCTTCTATAGCAATACTGCCATTCAAAATTAACAATTAACATTTTACAACTTAATCAGTCATTCAAAAGTCATACCAAACAGGTGGTATCAATACAGCAGACAACTGCTTGATGAATATTATCACTATTAAGTGACCAACATCATCTGATCTGAGTTTCTCTCGATTTCCTACAATAACAAATATGCATCAAAGACATGCACAGTTAAGAGAAAAAAATAATGTTAATATCTGAAGGGTCAAGAGCCCAACTAAAGCCAACACTGACCTCTATCATGGTGACATCAAACTTTATTATTTTCAATAAAATATCAACTTCTAAACCTCTGTTATTTCTCAATAAGAATGTTAGTATGAAAGAAGGATTGTAATAAGTGAAGATGCTGAGATTTTGACAGATCTGTTTTAATGTTCTGTTGGGATGTAAAGTGTTTCTGTATGGTGTGTTTTGTGTCTGTCACCATTGTGTTGAAGAGTAGAGGCTGTGCTTCAGTCCAGGATGAGCAGAGTAACACTGATGAAATGCTGTGTGTTGCTTTATTTAACCGACAGTAACTGTGTAGTTGCTGAAGACGTATAATCACAGTAAATCATGCATGTAGTTTATGGCAAGATATTTACTTTTTACAGTGAATATGTTTTTTAGTAAAAAATCAGTAAATATATATATATATATATATATATATATATATATATATTTGTGAAATAACTGTGTTTCTGTTAAAAAGCTTAATGAAGAATTCTGCAATAGTATTTATTATTTAAATTAGGATATTTTACATTCATTTTATGTTTTTTTGTATGGCAGCCATTGCTGACAGTCATATGACCTTTTTTTCACAGTGAAGATGTTTGATCATAATAATTCAGGAAATAACTGTAAAATAACAGTGTTTTTCTGTAAAACATTTAAGGACAAAGTTTGGAAAAGTTTTTTGCACTCAATTTAAATTAGGATATTTTACTTTATTTTTACGGTTTTTGTTTGGCAGCCGTAGCTGCCAGTCATTGACCGTTTTTTTTACGATTTTATTTTTTACAGTGTGTTGTGTTTCTCTGTTTTATAAGAACTCTTGCCATGAGTGTTGTGTTTTTAAGATTACACTTAAAGTTAAAAATACTCTAGCTTTAAAATGCATTCAGACCTCTGCATTCAGTTTCATTGATTTTCTCCTTCAAATATGTTGTAACACAAGAGAGATAATTGAATAAAAAGAAGAGCGACAACTGTATTTATCAGCAGTGTGAATGAGAGTAAAAGTCTCTTGATTGGTTGTGTGATCATGATCATGTAGAGAGAGTTTAGAGGACAATGATGTTGAACTCACCCTTCACAGAGAGAGAAACAGCAGAGCTTGATGTTGATGAGTTTGGTCTTCCATCTCTCTGTCCTTTACACCAGTACTGACCCTGATCAGACTCAGTAGCTCCTCTGATAGTGACAGTGTCTCTGTTTACAGTGTAACGATAACCAGACGTCTGTAACTTTACACTGTCTTTATACCACTCATATCTCCAGTCACTGTAATCAGAGTTTATCACACACTTCAGATTGATTGTTTCTCCAGTGAATACACGACTGGCTGGTGTCACAGTCACTGTAGATGTGGGTAAACCTGAGAAGAGAGCAGAACACAAACTGACTAGAGGACAAATGATTATTGCATTCCCCAATAGCGTCAATCGCTGCAGTGTCTCATTCCCTGTTCTCAGGGAACATAGGTTACAGTCGTAACCTGAGACGTTTTCTCTTCGGCTCCGTCATGATCTCAGACAAACACTGGTCAAAAACATCAGCTGTGAAACTGAACTGTTCATATGATTGTTTCCATCTCTAAACCAGCTGTATCTGTCAGGATTCCGCCCTTGTTTCTATACAGTGTTTGTGTCTGAACAGCTTGTGCTCGGATCTAGTTACTCGTGACCAACAGCTTCATGCTGGTTAGAAAGACTGACTGACGTGATCAGGATGATGGAGACTATAAAACTCTTAGTCGTTTGATATGAAATTCATTTTATAATACAGTTATGGTGCTTTTGTGTCCTATTTGAACTCTGAAAGTTAATCATGTCATTCTCTAGCTATAATAGCGATAAGCACATTATTAAAACAATCTTTTAAAAAAAAATTGTTCCAGGAAAGATATAGATTTGAAACAACAAAAGGGTGTGGGAGATTAAATGATGACAACATTTTCATTCTCAGGAGAGCTAATTTTTAAACTTTGGTGTAAATGTTGGATAAAATGCATCTTAAATCTAATATTTGATGAACTGCAAATCATAATCAAGTACAAAACAATGACAGTCTGAAAAGCAAAGCTGCATTTGTATAAAGACTCAAAGATTCTCAGAGAGTGCAAGCAGCTAAAAAAGTGATTACATACAGAAATATGTTTTATGTTTATTAAAAACTTGAATGTTACTGAATAGATGGAATTTAAGTGTAATTAGCAGCCATTAACATAACTATTTTAGCTGTTTCTCAGATCTGTGTTCACATGCGTCAGAAAGACGACTTTATCTGTTGTGTTTCTCTGTTTTATAAGAACTCTTGCCATGAGTGTTGTGTTTTTAAGATTACACTTAAAGTTAAAAAAACTCTAGCTTTAAAACGCAATTTCAGACCTCTGCATTCAGTTTCATTGATTTTCTCCTTCAAATATGTTGTAACACAAGAGAGATAATTGAATAAAAAGAAGAGTTACAACTGTATTTATCAGCAGTGTGAATGAGAGTAAAAGTCTCTCGATTGGTTGTGTGATCATGATCATTTAGAGAGAGTTTAATGGCGCTTTTCCACTGCATGGTACGGCTCGGTTCGCCTCGGTGCAGTTCGACTCAGCGCGGAACAGTTCGGCTCACTTCGCTTTTCCACTGCGTGGTATGAATCGACTCGGTACGGCAAGGCTCGGTTCGCTTTAGCTTGGTTGCTTTTCCACTGCAGTTAGTACCGCTTCAAAGTGGGTGGGTGGGAGTGATAGTTATAGTTGCGATAGTTATAGAACTCCCAGGAGCAAAGATATCGGGAAATGCGTACCGGTGTAGCGTCAACCACACCTAATACATCACATCCAGTCCAAGCGGAGCTGGATGTGTGAGGGAGAACCAAATAGAGCAATGCGTTGTACAAACAATGTGAAAGGTCGACTTGACTTTAGTTGACCAAAGTTCTCCCTAAGAAGCTCCACCACCTCGGGTTGAAGACTCCAATCCCTGGGCCTCAGCCCCTGCCTCAACAGGATATCTGCTCTGATATACGAGACCATCAGTGTGTTGTCCGCCACTCGCCGAGCGACCATTAATGATCGCCCCCACTTGTGAGGGAAGCATCCGTCGATAGCAATATGCGTCGACAAGAAGCCCCCAACACTGGGCCTGGGCGAGGAACCAAGGTTCTTCCACATGACCGAGGCACGAAGGCATAGCCGCGTGACCTTGATCATGCGAAAACATATTTCCCCTCGGAGAAAACCCCTTGGTCCCGAGCCACCACTGCAGGGGTCTCATGTGCAGAAGGCCAAAAATAATTACGTTGGACACAGCTGCCATGAGACCCACCAGTTTGAAACTGTTTCACAGTGAGTGACTGGCCTAGATATACCCCAATACGGCTGTGAGAATCGCTACACCTAGAAAAGTGGTCCTCAGAGCACACTCTTCTTGGCGTTGAGAGGCAACCCCAACATCCTTAATGGGACAGAACGACATCTCGATGCCGAACTACCATAAACTCAGATTGAGCTAGGATCAACCAATCATTGATGTAGTATAATACGCGAATGCCCTGGAGTCTCAGAAGAGCCAGAGCTGCATCCACGCATACTGTAATAGGTGTGGGGTAATAAACCTAGGCCGAATGGAAGAACCAACGGCGAACCGGCAGGGAAACCGAACTGGCAGTGTTGCGACCCTCCTCAGAGAGTCGCACCCCAAAGGGCACTGAGGAGAAACGATTTCTCAAAACCGTCCCTACCCCAGAGGGAACCACCCTTAGAAGCCTGATCGCCTCGGCGTCAGGGCTTCTTCTTTGTCCAAGCTATTTTAGAGATAAAACAGTCCTCAGATCTTGCATGTCTCTAACTGGCTAGACTGCGACCGCCACCTAGGTACCCCTCAATTGGCTTTATGCCCAGCTGCACTACTTCCTGAACTTCAGCCAGCCCTTTGTTTCCTGTCTGCCATTATTGGACAAATTGATTAATTCAGGTGTGCCTGATTATTGTTGCCGTGACTACTGAGGTCAGGCACACCTGAATTAATCAATTTGTCCAATAATGGCAGACAGGAAACAAGGAGCTGGCTGAAGTTCAGGAAGTAGTGCAGCTGGGCATAAAGCCAATTGCGGAGGAGCCCGAATGGCGACGCTCTGTTTTGCACTTTGTGCTGAGAGGAGCTTAATAATAGGCCGAGACTGCTCCCGCCCAGCAGTCTCAGGAACATTAGATTGGTGAGGAAGAAACCTCTGGATCGCCGCTGAATGGTTTATTTCTTAGTTTTCTTGAAAGCGGAGCGTCCAGAAGAACAGACATAATTATATCTTTATATCAGAAAAACTTATATATATATATATCACTCTGCGGCCACCAGCAGGAAACAACCGAACTGGCAGCGCTGCGACCCTCCTCAGAGAGTCGCCCCTCACATTCATCCATGTCCTTATATACTTTACCCACCAGCGCTGCCTAATAAAAATGTATTCATTATTTAAGATGGCTGGTGGGTAACGTCGGGGTTAATAACGATGACGCCGACTCGGGAGAGAGAAAGCTCGCAAGCGTCTCTTTAACCCGAGGCACTGTCATACTATGATACTTAATACCCAAACATTACTATAGTTAGACATCTGGGGATTAAACACATAAAATACAAACCGGTTTATTCCACGATCTCGACACCTCAGTGTGGAGATAGGGAAAAAACCACAGTCCCCGATGAGGAGGCTGAGATACAGAGTTTTCCTGTTTTAAGATACAGTTAATCTAATATACTCTTCTTTATTTTCAATCTCATAATGTTCAGCTGGCCAGTAAATATTTAACTGGCAACAGCACTAGATAAAACCTCCTTTAAAAAAAAAAAAAAAAAAAAAAGCTCCTCTTTATTCAGCAGAGTTATGAGCTGACTTATTTATTCATTGAAAACTCAAAAAAACATCTGCCTTTTTCTTAAGATTTTTATTTGTTTTGTTCTCTTTCTTTTTAAACAAAACACTAACGATACCAATTCCTCGGAACTGGAATCGCAGCACACTAGATCTGGCATGTGAAAGCTGAGATAGGCCGGAGCCCGTCCCAACCCCCGCTGTCAGATCCGTTTGCGAACCCCAAAATACGAGCCGTCTCCGTGCCTCGGCAACAGAGAGACCCGCGCGGGGAACGCTAACCGAACCGTCCTCCTCGAAGAACGCCCGGCGGGAGCGGAGCGTCCTCACGGACAGCTTCTCGCAATGCTCACAGTCAGCTCCCTCGAGAACTGACTGTTAGCATGCTCCACTCCCAAACAGCAACAAAAAGCTGATGTGTGTCCCCACCCGTGATGTAACGAGGGCAGGGAACAACACAACGTCTATAATCTTGCTTGCTCGCCATAATGATAGGTAGTGATATATATTGGGCTTGACAAACAACAATAAATAGACAAGGACAGATTTCACAGAGAGCGCTTGCTGAAGGTGCAGAAGCTGGCGCGGTCTGAATTCAGGGGTGCTTTATAGTTTCCTGGTCTATGACGTCACCCGCCTATGACGTTTCGGGCTTCCATTGGACTGATTTTACATGTGCTTCACGACGCAATCACACGGAGCGTTCCCACCGCGTTTCAAACGCAGCTCGAAGTTCCCTTGAAAGGGAATCAAAGATTCTCAGAGAGTGCAAGCAGCTAAAAAAGCGATTACATACAGAAATATGTTTTGTTTATTAAAAACTTGAATGTTTCTTAATAGAGTTGAAGTGTAATTAGCAGCCATTAAAATAACTATTTTAGCTGTTTCTCAGATCTGTGTTCACATGCGTCAAAAAGACGACTTTATCTGTTGTGTTTCTCTGTTTTATAAGAACTCTTGCCAGGAGTGTTGTGTTTTTAAGATTACACTTAAAGTTAAAAATACTCTAGCTTTAAAATGCATTTTCAGACCTCTGCATTCAGTTTCATTGATTTTCTCCTTAAAATATGTTGTAACACAAGAGAGAAAATTAAATAAAAAGAAGAGTGACAACTGTATTTATCAGCAGTGTGAATGAGAGTAAAAGTCTCTCGATTGGTTGTGTGATCATGATCAAGTAGAGAGAGTTTAGAGGACAATGATGTTGAACTCACCCTTCACAGAGAGAGAAACAGCAGAGCTTGATGTTGATGAGTTTGGTCTTCCATCTCTCTGTCCTTTACACCAGTACTGACCCTGATCAGACTCAGTAGCTCCTCTGATAGTGACAGTGTCTCTGTTTACAGTGTAGCGCTCAGACTTCTGTAACTTTACACTGTCTTTATACCACTCATATCTCCACTCATATCTCCACTCATATCTCCAGTCATATCTCCACTCATATCTCCAGTTTCTGTGATCAGAGTTTATCACACACTTCAGATTGACTGTTTCTCCAGTGAATACAGCACTGTCTGGTGTCACAGTCACGGTAGATGTGGGTAAACCTGAGAAGAGAGCAAAACACAAACTGACTAGAGGACAAATTATTATTGCATTGCCCAATAGCGTCAATCGATGCAGTGTCTCATTCCCTGTTCTCAGGGAACATAGTCGTAACCTGAGACGTTTTCTCTTCGGCTCCGTCATGATCTCAGACAAACACTGGTCAAAAACATCAGCTGTGAAGCTGAACTGTTCATATGATTGTTTCCATATCTAAACCAGCTGTATCTGTCAGGATTCCGCCCTTGTTTCTATACAGTGTTTGTGTCTGAACAGCTTGTGCTCGGATCTAGTTACTCGTGACCAACAGCTTCATGCTGGTTAGAAAGACTGACTGATGTGATCAGGATGATGGAGACTATAAAACTCTTAGTCGTTTGATATGAAATTCATTTTAGAATACAGTTATGGTGCTTTTGTGTCATATTTGAACTCTGAAAGTTAATCATGTAATTCTCTAGCTATAATAGCGATCAGCACATTATTAAAACAATCTATTTTTTTTTTTTTTTTTTTGTTCCAGGAAAGATATAGATTTGAAACAACACAAGGGTGTGGGAGATTAAATGATGACAACATTTTCATTCTAGGAGAGCTAATGTTGAAACTTTGGTGTAAATGTTGGATAAAATGCATCTTAAATCTAATATTTGATGAACTGCAAATCATAATCAAGTACAAAACAATGACAGAATCGTCTGAAAAGCTAAGCTGCATTTGTAAAAAGACTCAAAGATTATCAGAGAGTGCAAGCAGCTAAAAAAGTGATTACATACAGAAATATGTTTTATGTTTATTAAAAACTTGAATGTTACTGAATAGATGGAGTTGAAGTGTAATTAGCAGCCATTAACAGAACTATTTTAGCTGTTTCTCAGATCTGTGTTCACATGTGTAACGGAACAGCTGCGGTGATGATGTGCTGATTGTATGTATACTGGCCTAATCCTCCGGTCAGTGAAGACGCAGCGATTTGTTTTCTTTAGATAACTTTATTGGCCTCTTACAACTCTACAGGGCATTGCAATATGTGTATGTGTGGTTTGTGATGCCTGCAGAAGACAACAACAGTAAAACAATATTAATACTAATTAAAGTTCAATGGCATCAATAGTGAAAATAACATGAATTACAGCAGACATGAATACCATGTAATACTGCAAATCACCACTAGGGGTCAGGGTAGGATCATTAAACAACACCATAGCTTCGCGCCACAAGTAGGTCACGTGACCAAGCTAAAATGGACCATCTGTAATTTGACACATTAACTTCAAAATAATAACGGCTTCAATGAACGAAGGCTACACAGCTAAATAAACAGTCAAATTAGGAAATAAATGTGAGGTAACTAAATAAACACGACGGGCCGTCTGTTTCATGGGGTTCAGTAACATGCTACCTATGAAGTTAACAAATAAACATATTACCCCGGTAATATTAATAACTCACACCACCTTCAAATATATAAACAACATCGTCACATAACTTACATCATCACCGACGCACACTTTTGTACAAAGGACTAATGAAGACCATGGACTGTCGGTGGAAGGCCAACTATTAACTACACAGGAAGTTTTTCCGAACACACTGCGCATGCGCAAACCAGTCCCTCAGTCTCTACATAAAGCAGCTTACTGAGACGCAACCTCCTCACAGCAGGAAATCCACAACAACATGCATCAGAAAGACGACTTTATCTGTTGTGTTTCTCTGTTCTATAAGAACTCTTGCCATGAGTGTTGTGTTTTTAAGATTACACTTAAAGTTAAAAATACTCTAGCATTAAAATGCATTTTCAGACCTCTGCATTCAGTTTCATTGATTTTCTCCTTCAAATATGTTGTAACACAAGAGAGATAATTAAATAAAGAAGAGTGACAACTGTATTTATCTAGCCTGACTTCGTCATACTCATATTCTAGTCAGAATGTGAGTCTGATACGGCTCCATAGGGCTTTGATTATGAGGCGTGTCTTAACCGAACCAGGAAAACAAAAACTCTGCACTCAATTGGATAGACCTACAACCAATCAGAGCAACACAGTAAGTGTTTTTTTTATGAGCTACGCATAGTTGTCAATGTCAACAGAACCTAACAACACCCACGCTGGAAGAAGTAGTAAAATGAGTGTTGCTTCTTTTACTTGGTCCTCCATTAGTGTGACCAAAGGAGAAACCACAATGACCACAGGGCTTTCATTGCGTCCCATCTTCTTAGTGACCATCGGAGCCAGCTGATAAAATACACTTTTGGCGAATCCCGTAGGAAGGACGGCAAACACATCTTTCCGATCGACAAATGCCTTGATTGCAGTTCTCTGTTCGTCTTTTAAAATTAATGTGCTGTCGATTTATTTTACAACAGACGCGATAGTGGAATCTCTACATCTCATTTCTCCAGCTGCAGTCAACTCTGAGGGAAACCAGTTCAACCCAAGCGCTCTTTGATAACGTAATGATTACGTAACTGCAGATCAAGTCCAGACCGAACTTCCCGACCAAAAAATATTGTGGGCGGGGTTCGGGCAGGCATCCAGGCTATTATTTATCAGCAGTGTGAATGAGAGTAAAAGTCTCTCGATTGGTTGTTTGATCATGATCATGTAGAGAGAGTTTAGAGGACAATGGTGTTGAACTCACCCTTCACAGAGAGAGAAACAGCAGAGCTTGATGTTGATGAGTTTGGTCTTCCATCTCTCTGTCCTTTACACCAGTACTGACCCTGATCAGACTCAGTAGCTCCTCTGATAGTGACAGTGTCTCTGTTTACAGTGTAACGATAACCAGACGTCTGTAATATTACACTGTCTTTAAACCACTCATATCTCCAGTTACTGTGATCAGAGTTTATCACACACTTCAGATTGACTGTTTCTCCAGTGGATACAGCACTGTCTGGTGTCACAGTCACTGTAGATGTGGGTAAACCTGAGAAGAGAGCAAAACACAAACTGACTAGAGGACAAATGATTATTGCGCAACAGCGTCAATCGATGCAGTGTCTCATTCCCTGTTCTCAGGGAACATAGGTTGCAGTCGTAACCTGAGACGTTTTCTCTTCGGCTCCATCATGATCTCAGACAAACACTGGTCAAAAACATCAGCTGTGAAACTGAACTGTTCATATGATTGTTTCCATCTCTAAACCAGCTGTATCTGTCAGGATTCCACCCTCAACTGCCACCGTCTCAGCTTGCCTTTGATTGTGCTTTGTTCCCTGCCTACTGTTTGGACTGTTATCATTTATTTCCTGACCTCGGTCTGACTGAGGACAAATGATCAAGTCTCAAGGCTTGTTTGCTACACTGACGGTTTCATTCATCTCAGATAATCTGAAGAGCAGAAGCTCATGGATGAACTGAACATGTCTGGAGGATAACGATAATGAACTCTGAAAATATCTGTGACCCTAATCACCCTGTCATTGTATATAGAAAGTAAACTCAGATTTACTTGGTTATCTTCTCAATGTCTTCAGGTTAAAGTGATGTGATGAAATGACGAACACACTCACCTGATACTGTCAGTGTAACTCCATCACTGATCTCTGAGTACTGTGGGGTTTCAGTCTGAGTTCCTCTACATCTGTACAGACCAGCATGAGACGGATCCACAGATGTGATTATATAGATCTGGTCTTGTCCTGCGCTGTTATAGATCTGGCCTGTTCTTCTGCTGTAATCTTGATCTTTATACCAGCTGTACCTCCAGACTCCTGTCTCCTGTATGACACATGTAAGAGTGACTGTCTCTCCTCTGAAAACACGGACATCAGGCTTCACCTTCACTACAGGTCTGGGTCTCTCTGTGAAAAGAGCAAACACACACTTCATGTTTGAATCTTTTAAAACTCGAAATTACCTTTCATTGAAAAAAAAGAGAACAACTACAAAGTAAAAGAGCTCTTACCTCTCACTGTTATCTTTATTGCATTACTGTAGTCTGTATAGTATTGTGTATGTGTGTAGTAGTAGTTTCCTCGCTGTGCTCTACACCAGTATGTTCCTCCATCAGAGACTGTCACAGAACTGATAGTTTTAGTTCCTGCATAATCACTGGATTCACAGTTTGAGTCTTTCCTCCAGATAAACGTCCATCCAGTTGATCTTCCCACGTCACAGCGGAGAGTAACTGTGTCTCCAGTGAACACTGAACTCTGGGGCTTTACAGTCAGAGTCGGTTTATCTGTAAGTGAACAGTGATGCAGTGTTGAGCTCATTTATAGAGTTATTGCTCAAATTGTTCACTATAGTCTTCTGTTTTTATCATTCTTTTTTAAACAGTAAGCTATGTAATTTCTTTTGATTGAAAGGGGTGTTTGTCTTTTCTGCTCCCACCAGTGACACCAAACAGAAAATTCCAGCGCTTTCAAAGAATAATCTTAAAGACAATATCAGGTAAGTTTAGGGAATATTAGTTATAGTTCAGAGTATTACGCAGGTTATGCACTTTCTGTAAAGCTGCTTTGAAATTATGTGTATTGTGAAAAGCGCTATACAAATAAACGTGAAATTGAAATTGTTCACCATAAGCTCTGAGTGACTGAACTTACTCACAGCGACCTTTCTGGAACCGATAACCACGAGTGAGAAAGGTTTAGAGTTCAGGGTTTATGTGACAGTAAGTTAAACCTGCTTTCTGGAACAGTCTATGCTTCTGTCTCTTTACTGTTACTGGTTATAGATGTTAAATATTAGCAAAAAGTAGGGCTGGGCGGTATACCGGTATACCGATTCATAACGAATACCAGTGTTTACCGGTGACAAGAGCTGGGGTGCTGAGGTAATTTGTATTTTGAACGCTGAAGTTAATCGAGATTTTCGGACTTGAATCTTTCATTTCTCCTAAAACAAATAGGATATCACACACTGAAATTATCAGCAAAAGTGCTGCTGTTGTAGCTTTAATGTGCTCATGATGCAGACAAAACATCTGTTTTCTAAGCAACACATTTCATTTTTGTATTAATTACATACATGTTTGTAATTATTGGACAAACTAAATGACATGATATTCATATCCAACCTACATGTTATTTTGTATTCAAATATCACACAACTGCAGGTTGTACAATATTTACATAATATAAGACCAGTTAAAAATAGTGCTGAATTAAACTTGCAATGTGATGATGTCTTGTGACAGTTTGAATCATTTATTGTTGCATAGTGTGAATCTGTTTCATATAAGAAATGGGTATAATATAATTATGTGCTTTATATGTCTCTATATGATCATAACAGAGAGTGTTTATGGAGGACAATGATGTTTAACTAGGAAAACCGGACATTTTAACGTTTTCATCAAAACAGACTGTTTGGAAAAAATGTTTTATCAGGGAAAACACTCTGGTCTTGGTCTTAATAATAATAATAACTAATCTGTAAGTCATGTCATTCTCTCTGAGTCTGAACACAAAACTCATCTGAACTGAACTCAATCGTTTAAGTCCAGGGCTGGACTGGGACAAAAAATCGGCCCGGGCATTTTGGCCCAGTCTGGCCCACTATATAACACAACCGAACTTTGCACGCCCTTGAATATGTATACCAACTCCTATTAAAACCACTAATGCCATAAGTGAATAGGAGTGAGTAAGAGTTAACCGATGAAAATAACTACTAAGTTGAACTATACTCCACAGTGATGAATCCTAAAGAGAGCTATAAGCTGGGATAGCAATACCGGTTTTTCCCACAGGTTTTTGTGAAATCTGTGGTGAGTGCACCTCTGTCCCTCTAGGGGGGTTCACATTAAATTTTGTGCTTTTTAATGTTAAATTCATCAATCTGGTGCACTTTGAGAGTTCAAAATAAAGAGCTCCAACCCATATTCAGTGTGCAAATTGAACAAAGAAAAACTCAAAACTCTTTTAGTTGTGATATAGTGTCTGTCTACATTACACTACTACATAATAATAGTTATAATATTAATCCCATGGCAGTAATAGCCATATGTTGTAAAACAAATGCACTGAAAAATAAAAGCAACTTTCATAATTAGTTTCGTACTAATTTCTATACAGAGATAAGCACATGATCTTTTATTTTGACGGAAACGGCATCGAGCTTTTATTTTGAAGAAAAATATGGTTTACAAACTCATTACTCATTATTGTCTCATTACAATTCTAATAAAATGCGTAATCGTCAAATATGCAGATGTGTAAATAATGCGTAACTGGGTAGTGGGTTCCTACATAGCCTAATGGTGTGTTCACACCGAACGTAGATTACATACAAAGTCAATGCAAAGACGCGAATAGACGCATCATTCGCGCCGGGCGTTGCGAATGACGCGAATTGGGCGACGCGTTTGCCGCGAGTCTTCCGCGCAAGTTGAAAAATTTGAACACGAGCGAATGTTCAAGCCTCTAACTAAACGCGATAGACGCGTATTTGACGCTCTATTCGCGTTCGGTGTGAACACACCAGAAGTGTTGTTGTGACAGTAGCCTAGTTCTGCTTACCACAGTTCTCTACACTCACTCATCTCTCTCCTTATCCTCCTCACTATCCTCATCAGACACTTGAAGGGCCTTTGAAGTGTCTTTTTTCACGGTATTTCTCTGCACATTCCTTGCGTTTCTTCTCCATCGCTCTGACTATTTTGACAGATACACACTGACACTGCTCGCTCACTCAGAGCTCAAAGGGGGAGGAGTTTAAAGATGTGATTGGACCAGTCCAGTGTCAATCAAGAAAATAACCAATGGGCTGCTGATTTACGCGTTTCATCATGCGCCGGTCTGTGAGAAAAAGAAAATGCTACGCTGACTTTTTTGTAAAAACATGGTAAGATTTGTGACATGACGCATGGTCAAAAGTGTCAGTTAACCTTTTGCCTACTGCGACCCACTTTTCTTTTGTATGCCAGTCATATGACCCACTAAATAAATCAATAACTGAAATGCCTCTTTAGATCTATAGGCTACAACGCAGGCCTATATGCTTATTATAATTAATGATAATCACGAAAACACACAAACATTTTCAATAATTAGGCAGACTATGAGGCAAACTGATTTTTTTTACTCACGTTAATGTGATAGCCTTGAGACTGCCGCTCTGATCAGATCCAGACTTGGTGGAATTTGGAAAAGTGTGACTCGTAGTGTCGCACACAGACTGTTGTCAGCCTATTCCTGCTTTTTGTTTTCGTTGCAGTCACTGTTGAAAATCCCGACTCACAAAGATACCATAAAACTTTAAATAATAGCCCGGGCTTTTATTTTCCCAAATCGTCGAACTGCACCGGCTTGTATTTGAGACAGGCCTTTATAATTTAGTGTTGAGATGTTGTTCATTGAGATGTTGTTAGAGTCTCTAATCTCTAAAAATCTCCAAATGCTCCGCGTGAAACTGCGGTCTTCCAACCTCCCAGCAAGCAATTTTGCGTCTAATAGACGTCTAATAGCCGTCAAAACACAGCCCAGACGTCTAGGCTAAAACGAGGCTAATTTGGGGCTGTCAGTGAAAATCTAATAGACGTCTAAACATAGCCCAAGAATAGACAGCTATTGAATGACTACATATACGTCTAATAGACGTCTAACTATAGCCCAAGAATAGACTAGTCATCAATTAGACAGCTATTAAACGACTACATATATACGTCTAATAGACAGGCAATATGGGTCTAGGCTAAAACAAGGCTAATTTTGGGCTGTCAGTGAAAATCTAATAGACGTCTAACCATAGCCCAAGAATAGACTAGTCATCAATTATATACATGTAATAGACAACAAAATGAGGCATAAGGATTCTTTTCACTCAAATACAACATGTTCTCATAAATGAAAATCCATCCAAACTAATTGAATATAAAGGATTTATTTAGAACAATTATATTAACAACTTAGACAACATTCAAACACAAAAATGAACAAATAAAAAAATAGGAAAATATGTAAAACAACTTAAGATACTAAATTTTTTAAGAATTGTTAGCTTTATATCCATAACCACCACCCCCTGCTCTCCCTGGTGCTTGTTTAAAATGACCAGAAATTGCATTTTTTATTTCCCATTCAGTCGCCGAAGGAAAGTTGGTCATCACTGCGTCTGCCAAATGAGAAAAAGAAAAAAATTATTGCTCAAGAAAAGCATTGACAATCATTTTTAACTAATTAATTACAGTCATTCACTTTTGCTAGGATGCACACTAGAGCTGGCCAATATAGAGTTAATGGAATATAGATTGAGACTATATAATTTATATCAATATAGACAATTTATATCAATATTTTTAATAAATTAATATCAATAATTAAATTAAGGCCAAAGTAAATTTCTAATCTTCTGATGCATTATGAACCATCCAGAGCTGACCTCTCAGGTCACCTGGGACAGTAGCCAGCTACTTTTAGATCCCCAAAGTCAAAACAAAACATGGAGAAGCAGCATTCAGTTTTTATGCATCATTTATCTGAAACAAATTCACTGAAAACTGAATGTATGCTGCATATTTTAATTCTTTTAAATCAAGTTTAAAGACTTTACTGTTTGCCACTACCTTTTATTAATTGGAAAGGAAAAAATATTTTTTTTATAATTTCTTTTCATGTTGCTGTTAAGTTTTATGTAAAGTATACTTTGAAAATTTGCATTAAATCAAAACCTATTATTTCTTACTCTAATCTAAAAACAAAAAAATATTGGTATCTTTAATAATAATACAAATAAAATAGTAATGATAAGTTTCATAGTTTCATGCTTACCACCTTGAATTTAGATTCATTTTAGATTAAGGGCACACAGTTGCAATAACACGTGCAGGTAACGTTAACTTGTTGGAGAAAAATAGTAGCCTAACTTACTCTGCAATGGTAATATTAAAATGTCACGGTTTCTACACATTATAACAACTAACTTATTTAAACAATGAACATAACAAAAATAACACGCATACTTACAAGATCGAAGTATACATTTGAAGGTTTTCAGAGTGTCGCTCACCCGTTGCTCTCCGACAGCTGCCTCGTGTAAAATAAAATTGAAAATGGCAGAAATGTTTATCGCGAGATCTGGTTAAAGTGATCTAGTCGCGCAATGCCGCCAAGGGGGTAATCCATCGACCGGAAGTTGAAGCCGGCCGGGTGCCGCCATGTTGTAGCAGAACTTCACTTGCCTTAGCATTTCCATTGACTCCCATTCATTTTTGCGTCACTTTGACAGCGAATAACTTTACATCTGAGGCGTTTAAAGACTCCATTTGTCC